AATTCGGGCTTTTAAACAAAAGAATTAACGTATTGCGTGAAAAACTTTCGTAAAAATGTGAATACCTTTGAGATTAACACATTTAAACATTTTTTATTTTTAAAAAACCAAAATCGATCATAGCTTTGGGAAGTGAGTTTTTGTTTGCAGAAAATTGTGTGCTTAGTAAAATTTAGAATAAACAAAGATAACTTATACGTGTGAGCAAAGTGAAAGCAATGTTTTCAACACGTAAACGCAAAGTAAGTGAACAAATTTTAATGCTCAAATCGATTGAATTTTCAAAACATTTTTGCCTACCAAAAGCTTCATCAAACCAACCATACTACCAAAGGAGAATGAAGCTACCAATTTTGGTCCAATTGGGCCTACACGGCAACGTTGGTTGCTTTTGCTATTTTGCTTTGTGCGCACATTCGCCTTATATGTATGCCCGCACATGAACGACACACGTTGACACGACACGTGTACACGCGTTGTCACAAGCGAAAATGAAGAAAATTGCAGTTAAGCTCGGAACACTTTGACGACAGCAAGCGACAAGCCACGATTGAGGGAATACAAAGGTTGCGCCGATCTCGGACCGCTATTCCTCTCTTAACTAATTTGACAGAATCGTTGTTTGCATGACGTCACACTTGTGCAACTTGTTTACGTTTTCCTTGCAACATTTTTTCTTCTTCTTCCATTCTTGCTCACGTTTTGGCATTTCTCTCTCGCAATGGCACCAGTGTGACGTCAGACAAAAGTTATTCTCTAAAATCCTCTCTGATTGGCGCAATCTTGTATTCTATCATTCTTGGCGACAAGCAGCATCTGTCAAATTTTAAATACTCACGTTCTTACGGACACAATTATTTTGACGACAGCACGACATCTTGGCTGCAGGACTGCAATTGTCGACGTCGCCAAATTAAATCTATTTCTAATTTTGCCGGCGACAATGAGTAGATGTAGTGCTGCAAAATTAAATTGTCGCAAAATTAATCACATATTCTTGATTGTTCATGTTTTTCTTATTTACTTAAATAAAAAAACACAATTTGTGAAATAAATATACCAAAATGTCAAACTTTAAAATCAGCTGTTTGCTATGTCGCTGAGGTCTTCAAAATGTTTAAGAAGCTGGCTTCAAGGCGACATTTGTCGACAAAATGATGTCGCTATCGTTACGTCGTGAAGTTGCAGTCGTCAAAGTGTTCCGAGCTTTAGTCTGTTCCAATAGCAGTCCGGTTTACAGGATTTAGTCAGAACTTACAGGAAGTCGTTCCTATTGACATAAAACCTGTAAGTGGGAACACATTTGAGAGAGTAACTGAGCAACTGTTCCTAGTCAGAAGTTACAGGATTTAGTCCGGAGTTTTTTTCCTGTAAGTTCATGAAAAGTGTCAAACGATCAGCTGATTTACATGTGCAAACATAAACAGAAAGCGGTGAAAGCAAAGAACCTTAAGAGCCTGTCAGACGTGGCAATATTTCCGTCTTTCGCACGCAATTCGCTGTCAAATTGAGAAAGAGAAATTTTATTACGATGTGTGAACAGCCAGAAATAAAAGTTGCAAGGTGGGACTGCAACTGCAAGAGCGAAAATCGATTTCGGAAATATATTTCAACTTGCTCGTGCTGCACTAGCAATTTTTATTTCTTCTGCAAATGCTGTCAAACTAATCGAGTGTTGCCGTGTGGCCCTGATCGTGAATTTGTGTAAAATGATAAAAAATATTGTTGAATTAAATATCAAAAATGCTTGAAATATATTATTTTGCTTAATATACTTAATCGTTAAATTATTGTTTACACGACAAATATGTTAATTATAACCTATATTTTCTCGCTTTTACAAGAGAAATAGCAAACAAACGACAACCCCACCGCTCATGGTTGCATTTTAGTATCGAGAAAGATTGCCAGAAACTCATTCGCTGTGTGAACAGCCAAAAAGCGATTTCAGAAATTTTTCCTGCAATTCGCCGTTTGGAAATAAAAACCTCTTTCGAAAGACACTTTCCATGCAAGGTGTGACTGCTCATGCAACTGATTTCTCAATTTGACAGCTTTTCCGAAATTTATTGCATCGAAATATATTGCCACGTCTGACACGCTTTTTATACTTGTTAAAAAATGGAAGTAAACAACGAAATATTTGAATATGTATAGATTTTAATAATTATTTAGTGATATTTCAGCCAAATCAGTGTAGTACCAATGACATGTAAACAAACCGTCTGTCGTTTTTACAGGAAATAGTGCTTTTTGCGTTCCTATGCACTTCTGCATCTGTTCTCCTTTTACCCTCATTTGAGAGCGTAAAATTGTAGTTTGACAGTTCCACAGGTTTTAGTCCGAAGTTCAAAGGAACAGACTAAGTAAAAAGCCACCACCAAATTGTAAACAACGAAGAAATGTAAACAAACGGCTAATGTCAAAATCGTTCAACTTTTTTCCTAAATGCGATTCTAACGGACTACTCTCCTGCCCGCGTGATCTTGTCTTTTTGGTTCATGTATCCCCGCATATGAAGTTGGATGGGGTTTGTAATTAAAGTGAAATTTGTAACAGCTGTTTGCTACAGATGGAATCGGGATTGCACAGTGTATGGGAAATAATGAAATCATTGAGAAAAGTTACTATGAGCTGATATATGGGACTCATGTTTGAATAATTTCCCAGTAAATATTTGATAATTTCCACTTTAAAACTATAGTTCACTTAAGGGAATTATCCTAACCATATACATATTTGAATATACGTTAACTATTATATCTATTAGAAGTTGTGTCTTACTTAATAAATTATCGCTTACTAAAAGAAATTATCGTTTCGAATAAAAACTTTCGCTGATTTAAAATGATTTGGTCGTCGGAACAACGAGTATAATGCGAAAGGTAAATTTTTCATATGACCCGTCAAACTTGAGTCCCAGAATTTTAGGGTGGTCCGTATTTTTGCACCATCGACGTTTAAACAAATCAATTTCTAGCCTAATCTGCTTCGTCCAAGTTATACAGAAGTGGGGCAATAGGTTTTGCGAAGGAAATTTTTGGGTTTCTAGAAGTGAAAGTTTGGTAAATAGGAGTGGATTTAGTTGCAAAGTCTGTTGATGTTTGGCCCATGTTGACTACAACTGTTGACGTATTGATTTCGACCAATTAAAGGATAAGTCCCGTCGCAGAGAGTACGTGGCCTTAAGAGAATCCCTGTTCAGTTCTACGCGGCCTGGACTTCAGGTTACTAGATTCAACCTACGATTGACGTCCACACAGGCAGATGGGTATCGTCCGAACTAAAAGCGATCATCCAGAAATCGCCAGGACCTTTGTCCTAATTACCTATGTCGAGTACTGGAGATGCACATTCCGTTTATGGTGGTTGACTATGATTCTAATATCCTTATTTACATACATGCCGGGATTATCTGGATTAACCTTTCGCATCTAAAAGCTTAAACAGACGGCAGCGTTTATCCGGATTAACTCGGACTTAATCCGGATCAACTGCAGTTAATTCCCGAGTTGATCCGGATCAACGCTGCCGTCTGTTTATGCTTTAATCCAACCACGTCTGCAAGGAAGCCTGGGGGCGATCCTGTCAGTTGATATGAATCTGCCGGCTACAAAGTTAATACTCCTGCGAAAAGGCATTGAACTTGGACACGCCGTATTCTGTAAAACTGTCCCGATTGGCCTTCCGTTTATTTCTGTAGGTTTAGTTTTCGGAGAGTATAAATTCTTGCATTTGTAGTTGTAACAGCAAACAAATCTTGGAGTGACGGGTCATGGCCAGATATGAATCTGTGTAGTTCCTGTTGCGTAGACCCGACTATCTGCGGTCATTATTGACTGTGCAGAACATGGAGTCATCAGTTTTCTTCGCTAGCAGTACACAGGTATTCCCGCAGATCGGAGTGACAGAGTTCGTGGTGCGCATTTAAATCTCCGATCATTACCCGATTACTAGTTAGAAGGGATTGGTATGTATTCACTGTTACGTTCCAGCATTTCGCGATTTGTTCACGACTATTTCGGAACCGGTTCGAGATCTGTTTGGGACTATTACAGGACCATCTTGGCACCAGTTCTAGAGTATTTGGGACAAGCTCGACACTATTACGGGTTCTTTTCGGGCCTATCTCAGGACCAATTAGGGACTGGCTCAAGACTATTTTAGGATAGTTCACGGCTCTTCTAGCGCTATTTAGAGATTATTTCAGGAAAGTATGAGGCCATTTTGGGACTAGTAGGAGACCATTTCGGGACCTTTTCTAACCTGTTCGAGATTCTCTCGGGACAAGTTTACGACTTTTTGAGAACCGCTTCTGGATGGCTTGAGATCAATTATGGAACTAATTCGAGATTATCGGGGTGGGTCGAAACTGGTCCGGAAACGATTTTGAAACAATGCTCAAATATTCCCGAAGTTGTTATGAACAAGTCGTGTACTGGTTCTAACAAAACGAAATCAAATTTTTGTTTAATTTCTACGCTGACCTATTTACATATATCGTCGATGTTTTTGCAAAACCGCCCATCGCTCAATTGCAAAACCTCCTATCTTACGGCACTCAAATTTTACAGGAGAGCGAAAAAACGGTTTATTCTTTGTAGGCATTGCCTTGATTGGCGGTATTTCCTCTAGCTTTTATTTTACAAATCTGTTGTTTTAATAACGGTTTAACGATTTTTATGCATAATTCTCGACGCCTAGAGTTCAGGGTTACACCAAATCTCATTTTTGCCACAACGGCGATTTAGGCGGTTTTGTAACTGGTCGATGGGCGGTTTTGCAAAAACATCGACGATATATGTTACTGATGTTTACACATCAAATTTCATGCATACCTGGTACTCGCGCTTTTTGTTCCTTTGGTGGTCTCTTCCGCTGAAGAATTTTAGTGCATTTGCCGTTTTCTAAAGCAATTAAATTAGGTAAACATTTAAAATCGAGACGCCCCCCTCAAATTACTTACTAAACTGTTAATTTCTCCACTTTTTCCCCCACAGGAAATTCTCTCAGAAACGTTTGGCATGTTCGTGCAAGTGACCAATATAATTTTGGTCGTCTTCCTGCCCATGGTCATTATATATCTCAAAGGCGAGACGTTCAGTTTAAGTAATATCAAAAAGAAGGAAATGAAAAAATACCGTCAAAACTATTAACTATCAAAATTCTTTTGCAGTTGGCGCATCCACCGTATGTTTTATATATTCTTTACTTTTCCTAAAACTTTGGAGTTATGTGCAAACAAATATGTGGTGCCGTCAGACCTACTATCTCAAACAATACAATCCACGCGAGCGACGACCAAGCATAACAGTAGCTGAATTGCGTAAGTTTCTAAATCAAAAATTTCACGATTTAACAGATGTAAATCATTAATGAATTTTATAGGAAACGGTTTCACGGGAGATGAGGTTGACGCGGATATACCTAAGCTAGTACAGTACCCAGATAATCTCTGTTATAAAGATTTTTTCTACTTTCTGCTTGCACCCACGCTCTGCTATGAGCTAAACTTCCCCAGAACTACGCGTGTACGCAAGCGTTTCTTGCTCAAACGCTTACTTGAGGTACTCTTCGGCTTCAATGTTATTATGGCGCTATTTCAACAATGGATAATACCATCTGTACGTAATTCGCTTATACCCTTCTCAAACATGGAAATCGGTTTGGCCACTGAAAGGCTACTCAAATTGGCGGTAAGTTAGAGGTTTACGACAGGAACCGTAACGGTTAAAGTGTTTACAATATAAATCATAAGTTAACCGATGAAACTTAGTTTTTATTCTTCAGATTAAATGTAACAGGTTTTTACGACTTTATTTTTTCGTTCAAGAATAATCGCTATTTTTGAATTATTAATTTCGATATTTTTTTTCTCTATTATAACGGTTAAAATGATCGAAAAAATAAAAGTCCAAAGTAACTATTATTTAAAAAATAAAAATCACAAAATAAAGATTAAATTTCACCGAAAAAATAAAAATCCAAATTTAACGTGTATTCTTGGTTGAAAAAATAAAAATGACGAATTTGCAAGAATTTAAAAATCAAAATCTTGATATTTAATGGTTATTTTCGGTCTTTCGGTCCATGGTTTACAAGAATACCTTTTTGTATAAACAATCTAATCCTTTTTATCTCCGTGTAGTTACCAAATCATCTAGTTTGGCTGTGCTTCTTTTACCTGCTGTTTCACTCATTTCTAAATGCTGTAGGCGAATTATTACATTTCGCGGATCGTAATTTCTATTGCGATTGGTGGAATGCCAATAATATTGATACTTTCTGGCGTACATGGAATATGCCAGTGCATAGGTAAGAAAAAATAATAAAAGGGTATTCCTCTTGATTGCTTTAAGGCTCCAAGGATTAGCGGGCATTTTAAAATAAATATGAATTTTAAAATATTCTAAGTACATACAAATCGCACGTTTAAAAACATACAGAATTATTTAAAAATTTAAATTTTGTGGAAAAACGCAATCAAAGTTTATTCAATTCATACCAAAAGACAGATGGAAAGACTCATATCTTCGCCATTTTTGGGAAGTTTAGTCGTATGTTAGGCTGAAATATTCTCTTTACCTTCTTTATTGTGTATGATGAATTCTCCAAAATGGTAAATTTTGAGTTAAATCT